TTTTTTTTTGAAAATTGGTAAGTTTTTGCTTATTTATATACGAATATATAATTTAGATTTTTAAAATATTTGTTTTCAATTATGTTTCATAATGAAATAATAAAGGAATTGCAATAATTTGTTGTAAGTTATATAAAAATAATAAAAATATAAATAATTTTTCTTCATTGTAGCCGTATATATTTCAAACGAAATTTCTTAATTTTTTTTTATTTTTAGGTTATATTTACATGTAAACAAACAAAATATAGTGACAAGTGCAGCAAGTATTTTGTTTTTTTTTAAATTAAAAATAAAAATATACCAATGAGATTTCGAAGATCAGTTTTACTTCTGTCAACATCTGGTATCGAAATAGTCACATTGTCTCCAGCTTTCAATGGTAAATACTGAGTATCACTTGCCATCTTCATACGTTTTGCATGTTATTCAAGTCCATTAGCAGCCAATTGTTGGTTTTTATTTATGAGAGATTCTTTTTCAATCGCCCCAGACCAAAAAGTCAATGTTCTGGAATTGGTTTCATACTTTGGTAAATTGTTGTCCTATATGATAGTAATAAATCCCTAAAATATAAACTTATTAAAAAAATATTTGTTGAAAGTAGAGGGGGTTGAAGTTTTGACGTTAAGGGTAACATTGTCATTTTCAAATCCGTATAACTATGACAAAAGTTAATGGATTTTCATTTATCTATAATCGACCAAAATCAACTTTTCGAGAAAAACGCGTTTAAAGTTTTACTACTAATTGAAATAGATTTCTTGAAACATTTTATATTTCAAAGGACCTAGATAAGTGTTCTTTATGTATTTTTTATGCTGAACACGATTTTTATGGTTAAATAATTTTTTTAATGCCAGTGTTATTGTTATAAACAATTTGTTTTGCAAAAGTCAAAATTCAGGTAGGCACCGCCTACTTTAATATTATGTTTCTCACAAAATTATTGTTGTCCCACTTTCATATTTACATAGCTCATGGGAAAAAACCTCAGCTTTCCAATGAAAATAAAAAAAAATACCTGAAGGGGTGAAAATCCAAAATTAAGGGTTGATTTTCAAAAAAAGGGTGAAAATCTTTTTTTTAAATTTCGTATACATTTTTGAAAAGTACGTCAAAAATGCATTAAAATTCATTATAGATAAATGAAAATCCATTAACTTTTGTCATAGTTATACGGATTTGAAACTGACAATGTTACAAATACTTTTTTAATAAGTTTATATTTTAGGGATTTATTACTATCATATAGGACAACAATTTACCAAAGTATGAAGCCAATCCCAGAACATTGACTTTTTGGGCTGGGGCGACTGAAAAAGAATCTCTCTTATATTTTCATGTACATTATTTAGCTCGACATTTGGTGAGCTTTCAGTATTATATTCCAAAATTTCTTCATTATCAACTTCATTTTCGAAAAGATCATTTGTTATATTTTCTATATCCTCCTCAGAATTTAATGTCATAATAATTGAATTTGGCAAATTACTGCTTGCCAATCCTACATGTGCTTTTCTCCCAAACAAAGCTTCAAATGGTGTTTAATTAATTCCGGAAAGCAAACTGTTATTTTTTTGCAATTGACAAAAACGTAATCCTTCGCTCCACTTGAGTGTTTTATTATTATCGTTAATTATGCTATTTACAAATTCTCTACTTTAGTATTTAATCCACGAGTATTTTTTAATACAGTATTCTATTTGTTTACTACGTTCTTTAGCAGTCAAATTAATTATTAACATTGACATCCACCATACTGGATCCGACATTTTGAATTTAAAAAACTGATGGACAAGATATTTTAAAATGGTACATTGTCCAAAAATATTATAAAGCGAAAAAAACCTCGACAATTCATGTTTTTTATTAAATAATTGTCTGTAATTTGTTTATTTTTTAATTGACGGATTTTCTATTTGAAAGAGCGGTTCCTGGGCCATAATAAACATATATTGCCCATTTTCTATATTGAGTTTTGTTAGTTTAAAAAATTGCCAAACTTTAAGTTAAATTTTTGTACATTCGGTCCTTAAAGGGTTAAGATAAAATGAATTATTGAATATTAATATAAACTATTTAAAAAAACTACATTATAAGGGAAATGACAATTCAAATACAAAAGTGTTATTTTATTCACTAAATATGTAAGCAGTGACAAGAGTGAATTTATGGTAATGATTTACCCGATAATATTGTTGTTACTTAGGACAATAGATATTAATAATTAATTGAATACGGTTTATATAAATTTTATTGTTTTATTTGAATTACCTTCTATATCTAATGTACAAAGATTTTTTTATTGACAAGCTTTTAAAATTAAAACAAAAAATTCATTACGTACCAACAATAAAATTCATATAAATCACGTTCGATTAAAATCTATTGTCGGTAAGTAAGCACAATATTATCTTGTAAATCATTACCATCAATTCACTCTTATCACAGCTTACATATTTAGTGAATAAAATGACACTTTTGTCTTTGAATTGCCATTTCCCTTATAATTTAGTCTTTTAAAATATTTTATATTAAAATTCAATAATTCAATTTATCCTTAAACAGGTATATTATCATTAAAAGTCATCCAAAAGTTGTCCGTATAGAACCTCCTTATAATTACGCATTACAGTAAAGGCTGTAATACGGACAAGTCAAGATTCCGTATACCAGCTTAGAAGTTGGTATACGGAATCCAGGCTTCTGTTATACAACTTTGTTTATTGGGTAGTAAATCAACATGATTATTATACTTTATATGATAAATAATACGGTAGAAACAGTTTTTCCAGCGAACAGTTCATATTATATATTTATGTTTATTTTATTTACATTGTATTATTGTACTTTGAAAATATTTAATTAATATTCTTAGTAAAGTTGACAAAACAATAACCTTAACCCATTAAGCCCCAAATGCACTGAAATTTTAGTCTAACTTCAAGGAATGTTTTTTTACAGAAAAAAAATCACAATTTTTCGCGAAACCCACATCCAATTATTTTAGTGTGGTTTTTCCGAAAATGCTAACAAAAAAGGCTTAAAAAATGTTAAATAATGTTCATTAATGTTTATTTGCAAAATCACGCGATTTTTTAATAATTTTTTAATAAATTTACAAATATTTCGAAAGGAAAACAATTTTTCCGACAGCCATCAAGTATATAAATCGTACACTCGATTGTTAAACTTCAAAAAAAAAAATATTCCCCCTCTTCCAAATTTTATTTTTTCAAAATGGCATCGAAAAGTTCAAAAAGTTATAAAAAATAATTTAAATGTGCCAAATTTTTTAAATTGTGTCCAAATTAGCTGAAAATTCTTACTCGGGGGGGTTTTCGGGGTCGCTGATTACGAATTTGATGTCAGAATTTGGAAAATAAAAATGGCGGATTCAATATGAAGACCAAAAACTTTTTAAATAGATAAATTTCACTAAATGCATTTAGAATACCATCTTTAGCCACCTAGTCCTAATTAGTGTTGCCCGATTCTCACCACGAGGAGGTAGATAGTTTTTAAAAATCATTTTTTAATTTTTTTTTTTGATTTTTGAAATATATTTTTTTTGTTTTTTTGAAATATGTTTTGGATTTTTTTGTTTCTATTGAATTCCTGATTTTATTGTTTTATTTACTTTTATATATTATGCTGTGTTTTTTATTAATAAAATTTTTATTATTAAAATAAAATTTTTGATTTACTAATAAATTTTTTTTTCATTTTTTATTTTATTTACTTTCATATATTATGCTATGTTTTTTAGTAATAAAAAACACAGCATAATATATGAAAGTAAGTAAAATAATAAAATCAGGAATTGAAAAGAAACAAAAAATATTTCAAAAAAACAAAAAAGTATATTTTTAAAAAAACAAAAATATTAAAACAATGATTCTTCAAATCTATCTACCTTCCCGTCCGTGGTGAGAATAGGGCAACACCAATTAGGACAAGGGGGCCAAACACTCAAACACGTTGGATGTAGGTTTCCCGAAAAATTGGAATTTTTTTTCTGTAAAAAAACATTCCTTGAAGTTAGACTAAAATTTCAGTACATTTGAGGCTTGATGGGTTAAATATAGTTTGACACTTGGGAATATACTAATAAACAAATTGTAAATTGGTTTTTCTGGAATTATTACATGAATTTTCTGGGAACTACTCTCGGAGTCATTCCGTAAAATTTCTCGGGAACCGATTCACGTGGGGATACACACAAAAAAACTGTGTTAAAGTAAAAAAATGCAGATTTTTTAATTTTTTCCATACCTACCATAGAAAATCGTTTAAATTTTAAATTGTTTAATTAAATAACAATTTATTTTTAAGAAATAATCATAATTTTTGAAAATTCCAAATGTAATTAAAGGAGACATTTTAATATACCCACCAAATATTATAAAATTTTATCAGAAAACAGCAGAGAAATCGTAAAATTAATAAAATAGTGTTAAAAAAATTATTTCTTTATAAAAACTCTCGCAAAAATAAAATTATTTAAAAACCACAAACACTAATGAGTGCACCAGTTACACAAGAAATAAAATGTTTAAATTCACTTTTGGGAAATTATAACTGATTTATTAATATTAAAAAATTAATTTGAATTTTATAAAATAATGAAATAGTCTTGAGTTTCAATATTTGTGAACGAATTTTCACATATAAAAATTGAGTACGATAGCTCTTCGAAAATACACAGAATATTGAATACGATAGCTCAATGAATTTGCACGAAAATTCGACAATTATAATTCCATCGAAATTTGGGGAAAAGATAAATGAACGAATGTTTTAAATGCGCGCATCGACCGGCAACCTTCTCAATCGTTCAAGCAACAAAGCAATAATAATAACAACAAACACTAGTTACAATCTACGACAACATCAATATAGCTATATCTATATCTCTATATAACTCAAAAAACTCAATTTTTTTTAAAGTGACTTAATTTAAAATTATAATAAAATTACAAATCCTGAACACATACCTTTTTTGTAGGTGCTTTTTGACACTGTAATCACTTTTCTTGCATCTTTTGTTAGTGTTTGACTGACAGCATTTGGAATACTTTTAACCAAAACATGAACAGCTCTTCGTTTCACTTTATCCCAGTCAGTGACATCAATTTCAATAGTAGAAACGGATAAATCTTTATCAGATAAAGAATCAATCTGATTTTGAACCACTAGTGGAATAGTATTTCGTAATTGTTCTATGTCTTCTAATTCCTTTAATTCAGGAGGAATTTCTTGATTAGTAAGCGTCGCAATTTGACCATCAAGTGACATTTCATGAACATGAAAATCACTGTATCTTTCTTTAATAGTTCCTAAAAATCCGTCGTGATTAATTATATACTCTGTGATGCCAACATCGACTTCTTTTAATCGCAAATTAAAATCGTATTTTTTCCGTTTGTTTTGAAAACTGTGTTGAATAGATAATTGTCTTTTTCCAAAACGAGTGTCATTTTGTGCTGATTTTTTGCATCTGAAAATTGAAGATCAGCAATATATAATTTAATCTAATCGAAGTAAATTTTTTGTAAAATTATATACTTTATATTTTTATAAAAATTAATTAAATAAAAAATAATTGTTATGTCAAATTGTGATGTTATTGATATGTAACCATTATATAATTAGAAAGTAACTCGTTGATATAACACTAATACTTTATTGTGATATAACTGTTATAGAATTTGTTAACATATTTATTATATAACATAGTAATGCAATTATTACATCACAAGGTGACAAATTAATTTATGTCACATTGTTCCATATTTGTTATATAACTTACTAAATTGTGTGACATAACACATACATTTTTTTGTTACTACACAGAAATATAATATTTTTACTCTGTAATATGATTATAAATTAAAGTAATGAATTGGTTATTTGAAACTAATGTTAATTTTTTAATTTTATACAAAATTAAAAGAAATTTAAATTTTTCAAAACAATAAAAGAGTTTTTTTCGTTTATAAAAAATTTTAGGTAATTTAGACCCTCAACCCCCAACGTGATACTTTTTTTATAATTTGCACATTAAGTTACAACGGAGAGTGATACTATGTCTAACCCCCTCTCAACATAAAAATTTCACGTAATATGTGAATGGAACCTTTTTTAGAAAACGTTTTTACTAAAATCCGCAAAGAAATTTTAAAGAATGTTCACCAGTATTCATAGAATAATTCTATAGAGTTTCTATAGTATCATTCTAATGAAATTTTGTAGAACTTTTTGATTAAGAATGCAAAAAACTGCAAAAATATAAAAAAATTAAAATGTGGTGCATTTATTAAACAAAATTTTAATTTACATCTATGAAGAGCTAATTCGAAAAAATACTGAAACTAAATAATATATAGGGTAACTGCACCAGTGGTGGATCAGTTAAGCCCCTTAACTTTCTTATTTTGACTTTGAAGTTCTGTATAGGTTGTTTTTAGACAAATTCGAGGTTATTCTTTATAGTATTATGGACCAGATAGTTCCAATAGACATTTCCTTCAAGGTTAGACTTAATTTTGACACCTACGTTTACTTTAATGCTCCATCAAAGATAATTTGTCAATGATCCTATTCTGGATCACTGTTTGCACCAGTCATGGTTATAGATTGCTCCAGTGGTGGATCGCTTAAAAAATCATACTAAAAAACATTGCATTTTAAAATTACGAGACTGAGACGTTTTGCAACTTTTATAAGGCTTTACAGACAGATTTTCAAATTCACTTTCCTATCCATATCCCCTCCTCTTTCATTTCTATAGGTATAATGTGACTAAATATTAATTAATCATCTTTTTATTAGAATTTTTGGTAATAAATAAATAGAAACTCTTAAAGCTTCAGTTTCAATGATAAATAACATTTATTAATTCTGGGTATTTTAATTCAACAAAAATTTAACAATTTCAAATCAGGGGGTCGATTACGTAACATTCCCACTTCCCACATTTTACATCCCACTTCTCACTTCCCACATTTTACATCCCACATCTCACTTCCTACATTTTACATCCCACTTCTCACTTCCTACATTTTACATCCCACTTCTCAATTCCCACATCCCATTTCCCACATCTCACTTCCCACATTTTACATCCCACATCTCACTTCCTACATTTTACATCCCACTTCTCAATTCCCACATCCCATTTCCCACATCTCACTTCCCACATTTTACATCCCACTTCTCACTTCCCACATTTTACATACCACTTCCCACATCCAACATCTTGTGGGAAATGGGAGAGATGTGAGAAGTGGGATATAAAAGGTGGGAAGCGTGATAAGAAAAGTGTAATGTACAATGTGAGATGTGAAGTGTGAAAAGTGAAATGTGAGAAGTGGGATGTGAAATGTGGGAAGTGAGATGTGGAATGTGAAATATGGGAAGTGGGATGTGGGAAGTGGGATGAAAAATGTGGGAAGTGAGATGTGGGAAAGTTACGTAATCGACCCCCAGGTGTTAACAATTAATAAACATTTGAATTAGTGTTAACTAAAATTTAACTCATAAAATTTTCAATAAAACAATGCGTCAACATGCGAAAAGTAGGACTGATCCACCACTAGATTTTGTTACTTTTTTGGTGCCAGTCGTGGATCACCCCAAAACAATGGACACGCGCTACTTACAGACGTAAATATTGTTCTCAGGGCTCTATGGGGATGAAACGAAATGCCTCCTATTGTGAAAAGAATTAAAAATTGTCCTAAAATGGCTCCAAAGCTTTCTATTCCAAAATATACTCTTAACTTACATGCTAAGGAAAACTCTTGTTTTCTGTCACCACTTTAGTAATTGTTGTCCTGCTTTCTTCGCGATGAATTTAAAAATTTTTTTAAATTGTAATATTGATCTGTATAACTTTCTTAACAATTACCGACACTTGCGGTTCATGTACTTACAAACGTGTAAACACAAATGACCATTTTTCTCGCAGTTGATCCACCACTGGTGCATGATCCACCACTGATGCAGTTACCCTACTTATTTAATGAGTTTTAGTAAATATTAAAAAATATTTTCTTATAGGAGTACTGGACAATTTAACAGCTTGTCAATAGAAACTCATCAAAAATTATATTAATGTACTTGGACCTTTGAAGAAATCAAAATAAATATTAAGCGGTGACACTTATCCGACATCTTCTTCTTATATTCTAATCATTAAAGAAAAAAAAATTAAATGAAATTGACTCGTCTCCTCCAAATCCATTTCAACAGAAGAACGAATCTCACAATGAAACTACTTCAGGTACACAAAACATGTCGTCGGGTTAGTGGAAAACTATGCCATTTCAGAAAATATTTGAAAAACATGCCACTCCGCGTGAAGATTGGAAAAGATGCCTATTCGTGAAAGCCGTGTGAAACATGCCATCTCGGATGATATTTGAAAAACATGCCATTTCGGCGAAGAGTTTTTTTCTCCTATTTTAAGTTGGTAATACTCTTTGAAATTTGCATATAATCTTAAAGATAACTTTTCGTTTACAATTCAAATAAATAATACTTAATACATAATAGTGCACTATTCTATTAGTGCAAAAAAAGTAAAACAAAAAATATTACAAGAAATCTGACGAACTTTTGGCATTTTTAGATATTTGATTAATTTGAAAAAAGTGCTTTCATTATTAAATTTTTTAATAAGAATAGCAGAAATCCGAGAAAAAACTTTTTAGAGATGCCTATTATTTATTTCAAAGAGTATTACCAACTTAAAATAGGAGAAAAAAACTCTTCGCCGAAATGGCATGTTTTTCAAATATCATCCGAGATGGCATGTTTCACACGGTTTTCACGAATAGGCATCTTTTCCAATCTTCACGCGGAATGGCATGTTTTTCAAATATTTTCTGAAATGGCATAGTTTTCCACTAACCCGACGATGTCAATATGATTATATTCAATAATCAAAATTCATAATTTGTTACTCATTGGGTTAATAATAAATTAATTTTTTAAATTGTCGAACCAATACTTAAAATACAGAAGTTTTTCGAGGAAAATATGAAACTGAACAGAAAATAATGAACGCCAAAGAGGAAATAAAATTATATTTAAAAGATTCATTAGAATCATGTGACATTGATCCTATAACATGGTGGAAAAACAATCACAATGCTCATATTCCATCAAATTAAACTAGGTGTTTATTTCATGATCATTTAGCTTCCTCATCATGATACACTTATACATATTCAATATTAAAAGAAGGATTACAACCAAAGTAGCGATCAATTTTATAATTATTGGTAAAAAGTAAACTTTATATACATCAATCGATTCAGGGTTGAGCCATCGCGTTTATTTTGTTTTACCACACTAGATCCATCTGTCTTTGTATGTAAGTATTTGTTAGCAATGTCAGCGAACTTTTAACATACGTTGTAGTGAAGTGTGCGAACAATAAAGACGTATTATGCGAGTCAGTGTTGTACGCTCAACAAAAAATTTTTTTCTTGTTTTAAAAGAAGACAATTAAGTGCAGAAAAAATATGTCAAATTGTTCATTACGATTTTATATGAAAATGTGGAACGTAATATGGTGTTTGGATAACGCGCTTATTTTTGTGTGTGATGTGACGCTAAACGACGCGTGAGTCAGGGTTGAGCCACCCAAAAATTTTGCAATTATGAAGGGTTCTTGAAATTGAAATTCATTCGTCGACTAAAAGAGCTGTCAAAAACTTTATTTCCATTCGAAAGAAAGAAAATACAAATTTTTGATATTTTTTTTCACTTTTCAGACCAGCTTCGCGATACAAGCGAAAATCCGAAAATTACATAATAAGAGCTTTTTATTTGAATTTCGTGGTTCCTTTACACATTTTCAAGTGTATTTGAGCGCGCCATTCTATTATTTGAAGGTCATTATTAATCATTTATCTGCATATTTCATTAATTTTCTACAGTGGCTCAACCCTGACTACCTGGTTCAACCTTGACTACTATTTTTTCTTTTTTTTTAATTGACTATAACTCCGAAACTTTGGTCAAATATTTTTACAATGTTCAGCAAAAACATTACATTTTAGTAGATCTTTCGAACCATATGCAAGAAATCTCAAAATTCGGCCTACAGGGAAAGTTATAGAGAAAAGTCAAAACTATGTCCAACCCTGACTACACTCCCCTAATTGAAATTATCACTGAGTGATTGTTCAATTCATGTTTCATATTATAATTATTTTACCTTTGGAGTACATATTAAAATTTGCAGAAAACATAAAAACCAGTTCAGTAGAAATTTAAATATATTTTTTTATAGAAAATTTATTAAATTAAACATGTACATTACATTGTGAAGGCTTTCCATTATTTTTCTGATTTCGTCAAAACGTATTAATATTTTATCAAAATTTTCTGGTGAAGTTTCTTGGCAAATATAACTTTTAAATAATTGTAATCCTCGCTGAGTCTCTTCAGTTGTTATTACATGCTTTGGGAAAAAGTAGCATGTATCCAGCCAAGAATTAAAAAAACAGAAGTAAAAGAATTATTACATATTTTTATTATCTTTTTTCTCATCCTTCTTTCTTTTTTTATTGGTTTACTGATAACACTCAATTTACTTTTTTTTATTAAAACGAAAATCGGTCTAATCAACCGATTCGTGGTCACACCTCAAGACTCAGGAAACGAATTGCCTCGATGTTTTCCCTGACGATCTGTTTTATTGCACGACAATTTAGTGGGGAAAAATCTACTTTCATGGTTTTATGAACTTGTTACTAAGTCCATTTTTTGCCAACTTGCAATTTGCAAAAGGTGGTGTGACTTCGAGTTCGACAACTCGAGTCCACCACACTTAGTGTTTTACCGCCGGTTGTGCGGGACCGGAGAACCCAGGTACCACCGGTTGACTAACAGCGCCCCATTAACCAAAACATAGGTCCGTATTATACAGGGCGCATACATAATAATTTGGGGCATATTATTATGTACTATAAATACTACTAATATATTATATAACATAATATAATATGAACCATTGAAATAAAATTATAATAACGGAATTATTTGTATATTATAATGTTTATAATATGTACAGTAGTAACAAAAATATTTTATAAGTAATGGTAGCCCGCACTAGATTTCATTGATACGACTATGGACTAAGAGAGGGGGACCGGCGGCAAGTGGGGTTTGGCGGTATGTGGGGATGGTCGACGGATGGTCGCAAACAACTCAAGAGACCCGATTCAATGGTTTCAAAAAAAATTGTATAATCTTTAGATTTAATTTTTTTGTTATTCAATTTATTTTTAATGTGGATGTTGAAGATAACCATCGAAGATTGCCGTTGGATTGCTGGTCAAAGCGGTTTCTCTATTTTTACCTCAATTCCTGTGGATTTCTAAAGATTGTCAAACTTTGCTGAGGGGAATGTTCAAAAGTACGAGTTACAAGATTTGAATTTTCCCGCCTTTTGTCGTTTACTGCGCTAACCTCAATCTATACTATAAATCAGAAACCGAGACACATCATGGATTTTTCCGGATAAATCTATTCAAAATACGTCGCTGAAAATGTATTTATTGTCAAAATAATAAATACAATTTGATTTATGCTCGATCCTAGGTGGTGGTTTTGTTCTTTGTTGAATCAGCCTAGTAGAATCTAGTCGCGTTGGAAGAGTCTTAAGAGATAAGGCAAGAAGAAACATCATAATTTCGATTAATTGGATATAATCTAATTACGACGACAATTGGTAACCCGGGGCCTCTTTTTATCTTGATACTTCACTAAACCAGATTTTCGCCGGTGAGTGAGACCTAACTAGCAAGACAAAATAGGAGAGAAGAAAAAGTTCTTTCTCTTTCTGCGACCACCGTCGAGGGAAGTCACCTTTTTTGAGTAATAGTTTTTCTTTTACCTTGAGTGACAAATTATAGTGTAGTGCGTTCAAGTAAAAATTATTAGGTGAGCCTTTTGTTTTCGGCAATAATTCTTTGTTCATTTAATTGTTATAGCGAGCTACACAAGACAATTTCTGTTGCTGTGTGAGATATTGTTTTGCTGATTAGAGAAAATTATTATTATTGTCGATATTAGCTTGCTGTAATAATAATTGGTCATGAGCCCTGATATTTACATTTAATTTTGATTTTACTTTGCGGTATCCTATATTTTTTATGACATTTCCCCTTTTTGCGAGTTTTTCCCACTTTCATGAAAATCTGTTGTGAATAATTATTAATCGGTCTCTGGGTTGGCAAGAGCCTCTAATTATAATAATTAGAGTAAATTAGATAAACATTTTTTTGTAGTTTTTATTTCAATTTTGTTGTTTTTCTTCGAATTGACTAATCATGTTATTTTGAGTGATCTTTTTTTTGTATGCAATTTGCTTGGATATCCATTTTGCGTTTTCACATAAAATTTATTAATTTGTTTTTCTTCGCTTTTTTTGAGAATTATGTTTATTAGGTATCCAAAATGTTGTACATTTTCCCCTATTATCGAAGATTGTTAACCCCGATTAATTTTTTTTAAAATTATTATTTGTTAAATTAGATTTAAGGTTACTTTTAAATAAATTATGTCAAATTATTTAAAATAATGCTTTGTGAATTTTTAATGAACCTCCCCACTCTCCGTCTAATAAAATTGTAAATGAGCTAGTACAGAATAGCCGGGAAAATTTTTTTTCTTGCTCTAAATTAAAATTTAGTTTTGATTTTATAATTTATCACTTTACTCTGTATATAGCTTTCAAAAAATGCAATTAAAAAAACATCGATTTTTTTACTCCCGCAGTGAGAACCTCCCCTTAAAGAGAGTATTTTATCTATTTCTTATAATCTTCTGTGGAAAAAAGTCTATTCGTTAAGAGTTAGATCGAAAATTATTAATATTTTAATCGAACTGTTATGAATCGGCCTATGTATTTAAACCAACGAAAGGTATACTCACAACGTTGAAATGTCACAGAGTGTAAATTGGGGAGTTAAAGAGAAAAAATGGTGGAGAACCTTTACTTGCTTATTGAGCACTTAGAGCAAGAACAAAAACCGGTCTAAATCCTAATGACTGTAACCATATATCGTACTATTTCAAATTAATTTCTAATTAATCTGCATCTTTAATCATGGTTTATTTTAGAGATACAATAATTAAACTCATATACAACCATCAAATATTTAATAAATAATACGCATAAATTACCCACTGGATGTTGAAAAACTTGGACATGGATCATCAGGGGATGTTTCTGTAACTTCTTCATGTTTCTCCATTTTAATACGTCCTAAAAATTAAAAAAGCAAATAATAAATTATTGTAATGCATTATTATATATAAAAAATTATTAAAAACTGTAGATTTTAGTAAGATATAGTTCAGACTTAGACTACCCAGATCAATTGAGCCTCCCAATTCTGTAGCTCGCCCGACGCTCGTACAGACGCTCTATTAAGCAGAGTCTACAATAAGTGCGTCGGACGTGGACGTGCTAACGTCACAATGTTATTCAAATGGGTGACGTCAGCACGTTCGCGTCCACGTCTGATGCGCTTATTGTAGACGCTGCTTTAGTAGTCGGGTAGCAGCGAGAAAGCCATTGACAGCGGTTCCACATATATGCGAAATCGCAGAGTCGTTGCGATCGTCGTACTCCCACTGCGCCATCTACTCAATATACTCCCCTCCGTGACGTCAGAAGGGGAAATCATTAGGTAGATGGCGCAGTGGGAGTACGACGAACGCAACGACGGTACGATTTCGCATACATGTTGAACCGCTGTGACGCTAGCTTCTATCCGACTACCAATAGAACGTTCGTCCGAGCGTCGGGCGAGTTATAGAACTGGAAGGATCAATTGCACTGCTTTTTGTTAGCAATTAAGGCCTGGAGAAAAAAACTCGCCAAGCGCTACTTCCCGGAGCTTCAATTGTTTACCAGATCTTTAAAAAAAAGCACACAGCCCAGCAAATAAAACCTAATTCAGTTGAATTGAAATGAATAAACTTCAATTCTCTTGAATTTCACAAAGCTAAATTCTACTTCTGAACTCTTTATTCGTACTAACTCAATGAACAAACTTTTGAGCTTTAATTTTTTTCAATTTGTCAAAACAAATTCAATAGACGAGTTAGACATTTTATTTGAATTCTCAAACTATGAAAACTCATTGGTACGAAATGAATTGAATATATAAATGGCTTTACTGAATATTTGTTCACATCGCATTCGTGAAACACGACATTGAGATTGAAATTCTGTCTAAAATGTATAAAAAATGATGAAATTGACAGTATTATTATTAAAATCAATAAGTTTTTTCCTTTTTAAGACGATTATTGTTAAATAATTATAAAAATTTAATGTTTTTATTAATTTCAATTTATTATAAGTAGTAATACTAATCTGGTATCAGTCCAGTTACCGACTGAGGTCGGTAATGTAGGAATCTACTTTACCGACCGAGTTAATTCCGGTCGCCACAGCTAGATGGCGCCACCGGCCAATTCAATGTGGGGAGAGCTTTACCTTTCCCCCACTTTACATCGTGATGGCTGACGCGAACCTTGACAACCGTTGCTAGGGAGTCAGGTTGCTGGATATGGTTAGAGACAGTACGCATAGAGTAATCGAGTAGATAACACAGTATTATCCACGTGCTATCAAAATAACTTGTAGTTGCAAATAAATTGTTATATTTCTTATTATAAATATGGACTAATTTTATTCAAGTGCTTTTAATATATTTACATGGTTTGGAGAACCATCATCTGAAATATCACGTAAAATCTCTACATCAAACCTGCTTGGCGGGAAATTTGAATTTTTAAAAGTTCAATTTAAAGTGGTTTGGTGTTCTTCTTTACCAACCGAGTTAGTACCGGTTGCCAAAGCTTGATTCCGAAGCCATTTTCGATTACTGTCCAATTCAAACTCCCTTGGCGTAAACTTTGATTTTTTTTAATATTTATTTTTAAGTGGCTTGGTGTTATACTTTACCGCCCGCTTTAGTTTGGGCTGCCACCGCCAGATGGCGCTACTTTCGATTACCGATAAATTGTAACTTACTTGGCGGGAAATTTGAATTTAAAAAAAAATTAATTTAAAGTGGATGGTGTTATAAGCTACCGACCGAGTTAGTACCGGCTGCCTCTAATAGATGGTGCCACTTATTTTTTTACCCAATTCAAATTTAAAAATTTCATTATATATAATACAATATGTATTTATCTGAACCTGTATGGAAAAAGTATCCAGAGGATCCCCATTGCTGGCTGCGTCTATCCCGCAACCTACGCCGGGTTCATATGCAAAGTTCCGTCTCTCACCGCATCGATGTGAGCTCAGCCGGGGACATCGCTTCATAGTGGGGAGCGCTGGTATAGAGTGCAGCACGCCAGGGACCAGAGTCATTCTTTTTTCAGCTCCGAACGTTTCAGGTGATGTCTCTCTTCCAGGTCTTTTCTCTCCTAGGTCTTGTTCTCTCTTTCAGGATTTTGTTTTTTTAGATTCTCTTCCTTTTTAAAACTTTTCTTCAATTTTCTTACCATTTCTTTTCTTTCAGCTATTTCTTTTCATTTCAATTTTCGTGTCTTCTTATTTCTATTTTATTTCAGTCTTCGTTTCTCTATCTCCACTTATTTCTTTTTGCTTCCTCGTGGAGGAAGCTTTGTAGTTATATGTTATATGAGTTATATGAGATCCTGATCAATTGTCCGGATGTATGTATGTGTGTGGATCCCTTTTTTGTTTAGAAGATAACTTTAACAGGTTTTAATGGATTTAGATAAAATTTGGTAGGCTCATTTATCATATTAATATCTCAAATCTGACCAAAGGATTTTGAAAAATACCCAAAAAAAATTTTTAAATAGAAAAATTTAAGGTTATATATAATAAAATTGTATTCCTTACGTCAAGACGAATCCATCGATATATATAAAGTATACATTTTAGGTAAATTTAAAGAATTAATGAAAGTTAAAAAATCAAAAATTCACATTTTGGCAATAAAGTTTTGCTTTCTCCACGAGGAAGCAAATTTTTTTGCTGATCGTAAAGAGGAAGCAAAATGTTCATGTAATGAACATCTGAATTTATAACTTGTTTTTCTTGTTTCATACTATTTTTCTTCTTTCATCTATTTTTAATTCAATTTTTGATTATCTTTTTCAATTCTCTCTCTACTTTTATGTTTCTTATCACTTTTTTAGTTTTTCTATTTTCTTTTACGTATTTCTCTTTACAGTTTTATCTATCTTTTTTCAATTCTCTTTCTTTACTTGTATGTTTCTTTTATACTTTTATAGCATTTCTCTTACTAGTTCTATCTATCTTTTTCTCTCTACTTTTATGTTTATTTTTTGTCTATGGTTTTGGAACAAACATATTTTCTTTTAACTTTTAAATCAATTATTATTATTAGAGTAAAAAAGTTCTCTTTCTCAATTTATTTCTTTTGTTAAAGTTTTCTTCTAATATTTTTACTTTAATTTTCGAAATAAAAAAAAAGATGAAAACCAATACCCCGAATTAGATTCCGAAATAGGGTCAGGTATGGAGTTTGATAGTCAGGGCTCGACAATTATTTTAAGCACTGATTCTGATGATGCATCTTTCTGAGTCATGTTTACAATACTAGAACGTATCACGTTAGAATTAATTATTACTTTAATGATTATGATTATATTATCATCGATGATGATGATGATAGTGACGATGATAATAATGATGATCATTGGCGAAGATAATGACGAGGAAGATGATATTTTAGGAATCCGTTTTAATGAAGAAAAGGTTATTTTGAAGATTTAAATATTATTAATGGTTTAAAATTTACTATTTTATTTTATGCTGTCATTTTCTTTCATACAGATGTCAAGCCTCTTGGAGAGCGTTCCAGACATCAATTCCATTTTAGACGATGGTTTTGATTTCTCACGAGAAATACCATCTCCAACACTCACGCCCCCATCTTCACCAAATGATAGGAACAAAACACAATCACCGCTCGGGGAATAATATTTTTAAAATATATATATATATATATATATATATATATATATTTTTTTTTTTTCATAAAAAAATTAGTAACAGTCTTATTAATATTAGATTATAAGTGCGTATTATACGTGGGAGGTTACGGGTGCATATTCTAGAAGATTTCAGACTGCTCGCGCATTGTAGTGGTGGGGGTATTTCTGCGTGCGCATTGGGAATTCGGTTTGGATTGGAAAGGAAAGTGGGGAACTAGTAATATAAGACAACTTTGAGGCTATCAAGATCATTCTTTCTTGCAGGTCTCTCCAGTAATAGTAAGTATAGAGTTTTCTCTTTAGTACAACACTTTTTTAAGGTTTTCTTTCAGCAGGTTTTATTTTAATTTCAGCTTTATTTTTTCTAAGTTTACAAATTGAGTTATTCTTTTTCTGTTACTTTTTCTGTCATAATTTTTTTTCAGGTTTCTTTCTTTTCAATTCTTTTCAGCTTTATTGCAGAATTTTATTTTGATTTAAGACTTTTTATTTTTATTTAGGTTTTCTTTCAAAGTAAAAAATGGATCTCGAAAAAGTCAACGCAGTTGGACGTTTCGAAGATTACTTGCCGACAAAATCTCTATCTGAGATGATGAAAAATGGTCTATATTATATTACGAAAAGAAAGAAGGTGCAAACCAAATATGGACCGAGAATCATTGTAGGAGTGAATGCTGATTTCATCACCTATTTACCAGCGAGATTCGCCAAACACTTTAAAGAAGAACCCAGCTCTCTGGAAAAGATGCAGGAAGCAACAATAGCCAAGCAGCTTCAAATAAAATATCTTAGAGGAACATAAAATATTGTTGAATTTTAATTTTTAAAATTAAGAATTGTATATATTTTTTACAGCACAATTATTATGCGTACATGTCAACAAATCACTTTTAATTTTTTTCAACGATGGACATTCAAAATCTTCTAACTTTTGTACATTTTCTAAATATTTTCCTAGCCATGTCTTCTTTTCTAAACCTTTAACATAGATGATACTAGCACCTCAAAGTACGTCTCGTAGAATGGAACAAAGTTCATCGCAAGAGACGTCTCCAGCTGTCCAATCGATTCCATGGTAATTGTGTGTTAACCAGCGATTTTCACTTTTATAGCGTCCTGGCAATGAATTCCACGTACAAGGTGATTCAAATAGGTAGACAAGTGGTTGAGCATCAGGCTGAAGAGGCAGTATTGCTAACCCTTTGAAAATAAAATCGTTGTAGGGTCTTTTGAAACCTTGGACGCCTACAA